AATGGCCCATCTTGGATTTAAATCCAGACCTATCTACTCCTAAGCCCATACTCAGTCCATGAAGCTACAGCTCTTGCCCTCAGGAAGTTTCCAGGCTACTAGGGAAGAAAGATACAGATGTAAGGGTCTCTACCAGGGGTCCACAAACTACGGCCAGAAGGCCCCCAGTTCCACCTATCACACGTTTTTGCTTCGTGGCATGTAAAAATTATGTGAAATTCAGATTTTAGTGTCCATAAATAAAGTTTTATTGGAAGCCTGCTACACCCATTCAGTACTCTTCTCAAGCTGCCTTCCTGGCTACAGCGGCCCAGTTGAGTGGCTGTGGCAGAGATACAGCCCGCAAAGCCCAAAATATTTACTCTCTGCTCCTTACAGAAAAGGTCTGACGGCTCCTGTTCTGTACTCCAAGGTGGACCGCTATCTATCAATAGGAGAGGTGTTTAAAAAACGTTCTGGGAGTTAAGAAGAGAGGAAACTAACTTGTATTTAACTCACAGCGAGAGGCGCTAGAAGGATATACAGGTGTGCTCTGTTTTAAGACGCATAGATGCATGAAAACGCAGATTTTAAAGCAGATAAATTAAAAGGCAGTTACTTGCATAACAAATTTTCCTTTTCATTTTGTAAAAGGGATGCACCGTGGGATTCCTTTATAGAATGAGCCTCTATAATGTGTGCTAATATGATGCCACTTACAAGTACTCTATCCCTAATAACTTTTCAAGAACATATCCATTGTGTACAGTGAGGCTTCCCTATAATCTTTTCTGTTGTTGTTGTTGTTCCTGGCAGGGAAGGTTTCCTACTTCAGAAAAGTAATGGAACTGACCTTGTCAATTCAGGGCGGGGAGTAAGCGCTCTGCCATCTCAGTGACTCCAGGAGGGGCTTTGCCTGACGAATAGAAAGGCTGTGGGTTCTGAATGTCCACATTATGTGAACTTAAAGTGCCGGGAGAATTTTACATTTTTAGCCAAGCTCCTCTCTGTAGCTGCGCTCAGAGTCCTTTCATGTAAACTCCTCACTGTTCTATCACAGCATTTCAGACACAAGATAAATTAATAAAACTTAATTTGTTGTTACCATCCTGATAAAATGCTGAAGCAATATTTACAAAGAGCAGTGTTTTTCTAAAAAAAAAAAAAAAGCTTAACCGAATTACAGTGTAAACAGGTGCAAGTCACATAATATCTAAATTCGGGTTCTCCCAGGCCAAATAGGAGGTGGTTATGCCGCCAGTTGGACTTAGGATCCAGCTCCTTCCCTCTTTGGGTCCTGAGCCTGAATCTTCCAACAGCTTCGTGGTGTTACGCAATTGCTCTTTTTCAGAGATGCATAAAACGGAAGCCTTGACTATTCATAGCCAACTTAGGAGGAGCCGAAATCTTTCAAGAAGTTTCTCGCCTGGTACGATTTTGAGGGTAACTACGTGTTTCTGAACACATCCAATTAATCTGGATTTCACATGGCGGCTCTTTTAAAAGAGCTGTCTCGCGGCTTTTGTTTTCATCCTCAGTGGTGACTGTATTTTAGAAGTAGACAAACATTCCTGGTATATAAGCCTGAATATTTTTCAGGGTTTTTTTTGGTTTTTGGTTTTTGGTTTTTTTGGTGGTAAAAGAAGCTTAAATGGAAATGCAGGGGCAGAGAAAACCGTGCCTGGGGAAGTCCTGTGCGGTGTCGTCAAATGGCGCAGCAGATCTGTGTCACGGGGCTGCTAATGGATGTGGCACGCAGTTCGTGAAGGGGCAAAGTGAGAGAGACACAGGGGGATGGTGAGAAGCAGAGCCAATGTTAAGGGCAGGAGCCCTGCATGGTTCTGAGGTAGGATTCCTGGACAAACCGCATCGGCAACAGGGTCAGGGTGGGCGGGGGAGGCGGCTTGCCTGCCCCTGGACACGGTCACTTGTCATTCACGTTCAGCCATTTCTGAAGCGGATCCCTGGATGGAAACACACATTTAATCCGTCCGTGAGGTTCTTTAAAGAGATGTCTCTGGTCATCTCCCCCTGAGGTCAGGAGTACTGTAACGGCACACAGCGGCTAGAAAGCTCCATTGCATTCTTGAACTCAAGCTGGCTCACTTTCTCCCCTGCCCCCGCCCTTTTCTCTTCTGTCTTGGAATTGTTGGTACCATGTTTTTTAATATAATATGTATATTAATATATATATAGTAGAAGGTACAGACTATAAAACGAATGGATAAATACTGAACAAAATACGTTAGTTCAGTTTTCTTTTTCCCTGGTGGTAGTTTAAAAGTTTTCAAAATTAGGACTAATGGATATAGAAAAATGGGATGTAAATTTCCATGAATTTTTATGATCAAACAGAAGACAGACCCCTGGGGCTTGGCACTGCTATTAGGGAAGCAGGGAATGGTAAATTCAAGGGGAGAAATTTGCAAAGCCCTGGGTTTCGACCGAAAATAGAACATACTCCACTCCCCCCTGAACCTCTCCCTCCTACCAAACAGCATCTGAGCAGATTTCATTTCACAAATGGAAATGGGAAGTGGGACGCACACACATTTTTTCAAAGTGATTTCATGAAGAGTGGGTCTGTTTAATTGGGTTTTTGGAGCCAGGATTAATATTATAAACTAGGGAGTTCTGTGATGTGCCCATGAAGTTGGCTTTGCCACACCACCTGCCTCCTGGGAGAAGGCAGAGGAAAGAGCCGCTTCTCAGAAGCCATGCTGCTTCTGCCTTGGCCTCCTCACCGAGGTGACACGCGACCAGCCTGTACCAAGCACCCAGGCTGCATCCAAGCCACACATAACGTACAAAAGATCTTCCCAAGCTCAAGGTCACATCTAGAGCATGCCTGAGATATTTTTTCAACCCTAATTTATGTGATTTTCTAATACGTTTAGCATTTGCCCTCCCTTGTCTCCATCCTGCTTATTAAGGTAAATTTGCATAGAAATGGGATCTTGGATTTCAGGACCATTCACCTGACACTTGCTCTCCTGAGGTGACCAATATCTTCTGTGGATACCATGACGGTGACCCGCAGACACCACATCTTCCCACAAACCCAAGGCAAGGGCCTTAATTAGGGGAGGCTTTTCATGTTAAAGCCACAAGGTGAAGCAAATCAGCAAAAGCATTTAGCACTCACCAAGGAGGGCAGAATACTCCTTCCTGTCGAGTGGGCCATCCAAGGTCACTGTTTTAATTTGCCTTAGATGGACAGATCCTGAAGAAAGGGTGCAAAAAGTATATATGTATTTTTGTTTGGAAATAAATTTTGGATGGTGATAAAGCTCAGGCAATTAACTCTGACATTTTACTTTGGCTCCTGAAATATTTTTTGCTTAATATCTACCTTCAGGATGGGTAATCGTCATCTCTATAAATTGCCTTTGGATGACTAAGCAAAGGTGAAAAATCAGAGAACCAAGGCCCTTGCTGTGACCACGGTGGCAGTTGGCTTTAATCCCCCGAACTCTGCGTGCTGCACTCTCCCACCGGCAGCCACCTTCTTCATTTACCCAAATCTTGTCCCTTGGGTGGAAATTCCCACTGAAAGTATGTTTGTGGTCCTGGTTTACTCGTCACTGAAAGCCACTGGGTGTGAGGTGACGAACCAAAAGGGTTTCAGACTTAGCCAAATTCTGATAAACATAAATGCCAAACAACAGCTTCCAAGACTGTCCTAACAGCAAACTGTCTTAGCAGAGAACCAGAGGATTTGCGGGTCATGGAGAATAAACACCAAATCTCAGAGAGGAAAGTTCATAAAAGATGGGAGAAATCAGAAGAAAACTCGGGCTGCTTTTGGCCAGGCTACCTTTGCCGAGGATAAATTCATATATCATATATCATATACATATACATATACATATACATATATCATATATCATATACAATTATTTTTTTAAGGATTTTTTTTTATCTGTTTAGAGAGTGAGAGAGAGAGCGTGTGTGCAAGCGTGTGCACAGCGGTAGGGCAGAGGGAGAGGGAGACTCCATGCCCAGTGCTGAGCCTGATGTGGACCTTGATCTCACGATCCTGAGATCATGATCTGAGGAAAATCAGGAGTTGGAGGCTCAACTGACTGAGCCTCCCAGGCACCCCTATTATTAGTTGAATATTATGATCCCCACTTTACAGATGAGAAAACTGAGACCCCAAGAGGTTTAGCTATTGCACAAAATCATACAGCTTGTCACCAACAAAAGCAGGACTCTCTCTTACAGATATGCTTCAGTGCCTCCTAAACCCCCCCCAAAAAAAAAAAAAAACAACCCCAACTCTATTTCGTTTGTAGGCTAACTTTTTTATTTTACACAGGCCTCGTGTATTCCGGGGCGGGGTGGGGGGATGATATTTTAACTTGATGCAGAACTATCAGAATGAAATTTTTCAAATTGTACTTGGCATAGACTCTAATAATGAAACAAGGAGGCTGACTAAACGAGTCCCCTGCCTCCAGCACCAGATCGCGTTCCACTCTCAAGCCATGTGGAAGGACGCTGGGTTCCCCACTGGCCGATGCTGCCTAATTCTCTTAAATGATTCAGATGTAAAAGAGAAAATGGCATCTGTCTAATTAACACTGCCTGGTTAAATATAGCCGCCAAGGGACAGCCTCAGGACGATGTTTACAGAACAGTCTTTCCAGCCCCTCGAGCCTCAAGTTAGAGATGATAGCGAGTCTTCTGTCCTTATCAACCGGAAACAGCGATGCCTGCAAAAAGGGTGGCAGGCCAGGCAGGCAAAGGGAGATGAAAGGAAGGGGAAAGGCACTGCCGGCTCTGTTCCCTGTTGCTGGCGCACGGGGATTCAGGGAAGAAGGGGAAGCACATCCTACAGGCTTCCCTCCCGCAGCAATTCCCAGGATTTGAAAGTCCTCCCCGTGGGCCTGGGCCTTCCCTTCAGGCCTGGAGGCCTTGGGCCAGGACCCTACCGCCCACTCAGCCTGCCACACAGCCCGCAGCTCTGCTCTCTTCTCTGGCCAGAGGGCATAATGAGAACGTTACTTGTCTTCCAGCTTCACGTGGGGACATGGAAGCCATCGCCAAGTTTGACTTCACCGCCTCAGGCGAGGACGAACTGAGCTTTCACACTGGAGACGTTCTGAAGGTGGGTGCCGTGGGGCCCCCTGGGGCGCCCTGGGGCGTTTAGGTTACTATGATCTGGTCCCCAAGTTCACTAATAACCCATGCCCTTGTTTCTTAAGCGCTACACACAGTTCCTTTCAAAAAGAGAAGTTCACTTCCATCAGAAGGGCTCCTTCTGGGCTCCCCACCCCCACCCCGGGATCCTGTTAGCAGGCTGGGTGGTGGACAGAAGTCACCAGCCTTGTCTTGAGATGCTTGTGGACTGGAGAGGGGAAGAAAGCCACCGAAGGGCTCTGACAGATATTCTTGTCTAAGTGCTTGGGGAGCGCAGGTGAGGGAACAAGTGGCCCCACCTTGCAGAGACAGGGTGGCAGGAACTCGGTGGTCAGAGAATGCAGGGAGCCTGAGTTGGACTTTGACCTTGAGCTCAGTGGTGGGGGTGGGGGTGGGCGTTCAGTGAGCTTTGTGCGGAACTTAACAGGAAGGTGCAGGGAGACAGCCTGGGAAAGACAGCTGGAGAGGACATGGGCCAGCAGAGGCCACGCACACCGGCCCCATTAAGGACGCCCTAGAACTTGCCTAACACCCCACACTTGAGCTGTAGTGGCTGCTTGGAGGGCTGTAGAGGCCTAGGACTTCCACATTCCACGCACCGTACTTACAGGCTCAAGTCCTACATCTTAGGCCCTGTTTGGAGCAAAACACAAGCCCTTACACAGGCCCTCTGAGGAGTCTGTGATGTTCGTGCCCCCCCTCCCACCTTGCCTCAGAGCACCCCCAGAAATCCTGACCCCTGGTCCTCAGCAGCCCACTTGGGCCTTCTCAGACTGCACAGCAGCACTGAGGCCAGGCTCTCCATGAAGAAGGACGCTTGCTGTCGAGGGAACCTTGGCAGAATGGGACAGGGTGACTCAGAAAGTGTCCCTGGAGCACAGACCAGGTAGGAGGACTTGGTTTGGAACTTGAACACCCCCGGGACTCATCCTTCTAACTGTGGTCCCCTTGCAAAGATCTAGTAATGTAATTGTGAAGAGGGTGTCTTCAGTGCTGGAGCTTCTCAAGGTCAAAGTGTTACCTGGGCCACTGACCCAAGAAAAGGTGACCTTCACTTCTGTGGGATCTTACCAAGGTCACAGAGGGATCTGCCTCATGGTGAGCATCCCCTCCCTTCTCTATGGGATAGTGTGACCATGGGATTATCAACCACTATAGAGTGTCCTCACTCTAGGGGCCAGGGGCCAACCCCACCCCTCATCTTCCATTGCAAACAAAACCTAATATCTGGCTCAAGGGTTTCCTATTCCTCAGAAAAGGAAAAGGGAAAAAAAAAAAAAAAACTTTCCTCAACTCTGCTTTTCAATCTACCTCCTGATTTCATTCCTCTCCTTCACTAGTAACACTGGGAGTTCTCTGTGCTGGTGCCTCCACTTCCTCACTTCCCATTTACTCCACTGGAACTTTCTGGAATCTGCCTGTTACCCCCAACACTCCCTGTAAGCCCACGAGTGATCTCTCTTTTTTTTTAATATATATTTTTTAAGATTTTATTTATTTTTTTGGACAGAGACACAGCGAGAGAGGGAACACAAGCGAGGGGAGTGGGAGAGGGAGAAGCAGGCTTCCCATGGAGCAGAGAGCTCTATGTGGGGCTCCATCCCAGGACCCTGGGATCATGACCTGAGCTGAAGACAGACACTTAATGACTGAGCCACCCAGGCACCCCCACCAGTGGTCTCTCTCTCTCTCTCTCTCTCTCTTTTTTTTAAGATTTTATCTATTTATTTGACAGACAGAGATCACAAGTAGGCAGAGAGGCAGGCAGAGAGAGAGAGAGAGAGAGAGAGGGAAGCAGGCTCCCTGATGAGCAGAGAGCCCAATGCAGGGCTTGATCCCAGGACCCTGGGATCATGACCTGAGCCGAAGGCAGAGGCTTTTACCCACTGAGCCACCCAGGCACCCCACCAGTGGTCTCTTTAATGTGGACTGTAATGACCTTACTGGAGCATCTGTGCAATTTGACACTGTTAACTGTCCCTCTTCTGGATCTGAATGGAGTTCAGCCTCTCTCCTAAACATGCACTCTGCCCTGACTATTTTTCTTTCTTGAGATCTCTTAAGCAATCCCCTTCTTCACAAGAGAGGGGTCTCGATGCAGTAAAAAGCAGGAGTTTAGAGCTGGTAAATCTGAGTTTGAATCCCTGCTGATTAGCTGTGTGTCCTTGGGTCAGTCTCTTACCCCCTCTGAGCTTCACTGTCTTTATCTGTAAGTGGAGACCATATCTATTTTTCAGGGTTCTGGAAAGGATTAGAGGTAATGGCCCCAGCTTAAAGTGGATGTTTCATAAACGGTTGCCGTTATTTCAAGATTACTCATTCCTGCTGCCAGTCAGACCTTTGCCACAGCCCCTGGACTAACTTCATCCCCTCCTGTCTCTCACTCCTTCAACATACTGCTCTCAGGAGGATCTTTCTGGAAGACAAATCAGGTCAGATCACTTCCTTACTCGAAAGCATTCAGTGGCTCCCCATTACCAACTGATTGAAATTCAAGCCACCTTGTCCCAACCTCCTCTCTAACCTCACCAAGCTCTTGCCCTTGAACATGCACACATATGCACACCCACGCACACACACACACACACACACACACGTACATGCACACCTTTGTGCGTGCAGTGCCCCAGGTCACACTGCCATATACACACTGTGCTGTGTCAGGTTCTCCCCATACCCCGAATGCCTCTTTCCTGCACACACGTATTTGACCATGCCTGGGAAGCCTCACTCCCTCTGCTCTCCCGATGGCTCCAGCAAAATTAATCACTCCCGCTTCAGCTCTCCCACAGCATTGTACACGCACACCTCATTCAAGGCACTGACGATCTCCCGTCCCATGAGTGTTAGCCACGAGCAGCCATGCCTCTGTGCCCTTGCGTACCCTCTACACCCGTCTCTCATCACAGCCCTTACCCTGCGGGATCCTGACTGCTGGCTCCACCCGTGTCCAAACCAACAGAGAGTTGACCCTCTCTAATATTTGATGAGTGAATGAGTGGTTGATTCCTCCACTGGTCTGTGAGCTCCCTGAGAGCAGAGCCATGCCCGGTTCATCTCTGTGTCTTCACAGCAGTGCCCTACACAAGTGATCGGTGCCAATGGCTTGAATTATTAAACTGCGTTTCTGCAGGCTCGTGTAGAAGTCCATCAGAAGGGCAGACCTCTCCTTCTTTTCAAATTCTGTCCCTTGCCACTTAGCGGTGGAAAGGAAAGTGGAGAGGGGCCTGTTGGCTGAGCCCCACCCTGTGTCTGCATCGTGGTGGCTAGTGCTGTGCCTGTGGGTCTCTCCGAGCCACCGCAACCCTACTCCGCCACTCCAGAGATGGGTCACGAGCCCTAAGATCTTGCAAGTGCTTCCAAAGGCGGCTCTTGACTGCCCCAGTAATCTACTCCTGGGATCACTTTCCTCCTAGGCTTTTCCTGCTAAAAGACTAAACAGACTTTCTCACTAGAAGGCACAAACAATGTCTGACTAGCTCACCACTAACCCACCCACTCCAGACTGTGACTTCCCCAGGACAAAGGCCTCAGCTTATTCATATCTGTATTCCCAGCACCTAAGTGCAAACAGCAGGTGCTCACTAGATGACAGGATGGTGAACAAGATGGTGGACGGGGAACTCCAGCCAGATAACTCGATCCCGCTTCTCCTGTGAGAGAAACATTTGACATCAGGAGCTGGAGGTTTCATGTTCGTGCCTCAACTCCACCCTCCACCCCATCCCAGACCTGTAGCTACACACAGCACCGGACTTGCATTTCCCTCTGAAATTGGCCGGTCGTTTTTAAAAAATGTCTCTTGACCCAGTCCATTTCTACCTGCTTCTGTAATGTGTCCAGCTCAACTCCATTTCTTCCTACTAAAACAGTGACCTGAAAGCACTTAGAGTTAATCTTACGTCAATTAACTTCTCCAATACTTCAGATTTCTGCTCTGCCTCTAAGAGCTATAATTCCATCCAATTTTAAAATTCTCCCAACTGTACATTTTGTCCTCTTCCCACGTCTAACTTATTCTCAGGCCATGTAACCCAGAAAATTATTCTCATAAGCAACATTATAAGAATTAAGACACAGTAAGGTGAAGTCTAAAACCTCATGTGCTCAGACTGAACCCCTTGCTTAGGTTTTCATGATGGGGACAAGAGATAGGGGGAACCGAATAGGCAGAGAGATGAGAAGAACAGGAAGTATGGGGCCCTGGGCCAACAACGGCAGGAAGAAACCACCTCCCCCCAAACACTCTTCTTTGCAGAAAATGAGATTCTTTTAAAACCTTGCCTTCTATACACCATAAAAAGCCTGTAAATTCACCTCTCTGGGAACACGATCTCAGGCAGACGGAGCACCAGGTGGTGGGAGAAATGGCCGGCATTGTGGGATAATCTTTCAGTTGCTACAGGAGGTAGATGGGTATGAGCCACAATTACTAAAATTACAGCTGGTTTCAGGTTGGAGAACTAAGTTACAAAGTTGTTTCTTACCGTGATGAGCCAATTTCCAATTGGCCTCTTTTATCCCTGCTCACCTTGTACTTGACATTGGCTACCCAGCCCAAACATCACACTCCTGTGTGATGGGAGAAAGGAATTCCAAAGCCATATATTGGTGGGGGGGTGGCGGTGAAGGCATGGAGTGAAATGTCCTTATGTTCTTTGTGTGCCAAGTTTCCTAGTTCTTTTTCTGACCTAGATTTTCTGCTCCCCACCCCATTCTACCCCCCCTCGGCATACACATACCCACGCGTCCTTAGTGATACCAGCAGTCACATTTGATGTTAGAAACTATAAAGTTTTCTGTCCTCAGCAATTCTAGAACCCAAATATGGGACACACTTTTATTTCTTCAGAACAAGTGATTAAATTCAAAACATACACATATAATACTTTAAAGAACTTATAAACCCTACCATGTCCTTCAGAGCTGGAGTCCTCCCTCCTAAGAATACCACATTTTGCAGAATTGTGTTTTTAAAAACAGCGTACCCTTTCTGAAGGACTTCGAGGTAACCCTAACCCTGATCCTTGCATCAGCTCTGTGAGGGGTTAGCTGGTTGTTACTGTCCCCATTTTTCAGGTGGCTCGTTGACTTGTCGAAGGTCATACAGCTGGTGACAGGGCCAAGCTAGAAACTAGGTTTTCTCATTCCAAGCTCAGAGTGCTGCGCCCCTTTCTTCCACCCCGGGGTGACACTTGAAATATCAGTTAGTGAGCTCTCTTCATTTCTTCCTGTCTCTGGAAGAGAGAAACCTGTGGGACCCGGACCTAACTCCACCCGCTTTAGGATGACTCTCCAATCCCGAACGCCAGCCCCAACGTCTCTGCTGAGTCCAGACACACACCTTCAGCTGCTCCCCGAGCTTTTCTTCTCAGACGGTCCCAGGGGCAACTTGGATTCACCCACGTGCAGTCTGAGGCCCGTGAGCCCTTCTTCAGACCCACTCTTCCTCCTGTACTTTCTATTTTAGCCAAGGTATCACCACCCACTCAGTCTTCCTAGGCCGAAATCTGGAGCCCTCCCAGAATCCCCTTCTCCTTTGGTTCGGAGAACAGTCATGCAATCCTGCACACTTTGCTTCCAGGTTCCTTTAAAAAAGCCCCTCGCCTCTCGCCAGCATGCCTACCCTGCCTTCCTAGACCTCCCCACTGCAGTCCGTCTTCGCGCTTGGGCATAGAACTCTTTCTGGGCTCTAGCTCTTACTGTGTTCTTTCCCTTTCCTTCTGAGCTAAAGGCTCAGAAGCCTTTAGCGGCTCCCCATACATTTCAAGATAAAAGTCCAGACTTTTCTATGTGGGTCACATGGCCTTGTGCCTCTGCTTTCCCCTGGCTCTGCCCCCAGGGGCCACAGTCTCAATGCCCGCCAGGCCTAGGCCTTTCGTTCCCAGAATGCACCCCACTTCCTCCCATCCCAGAAGTTCCTGCACCAGCAGACTTAGCCTGGGTTAACTCCTTTCGTTGCCAGGGCAACCCCAGGCCTCTCCTCCAGGCAGTCTTCCCTACCCATCTTCTGCTTTCCCCTTCAGCATAGCACTTCCATCCAATTAAGGCATCGTCAGCTGCAAGAAGCAGAAACTTGAATACGGCTGAACCAACCTGCAGGTTGATCACTTCTCACACGAAGTCCAGAAGTAGGAGGGCTCCCGCGTGGCTCACGGGGGCTCAATGATATCGCCAAGCTTCTTTTCATCGCTTGGCTCTGCCATCTCCATTCTTGTTCGAGTCCATGCCACAGACTTTAGAAACATTCTCAGTGGAGGATGGGGGCAAACATTTGTCTTTTAATAGTGAAACATTTTCTGAAATAACCAGAAGCCACATAGAGCCACATAGACTCATTTGAGTAATCAAGGGAAGCGATAACATTTGGGGTCACAGTCAACGAAGGACCATATAACCATGAGACAGAACTTCTGGTTTTGCTCGGGATCTGGCACTACAAAGCAAGTTTAGAAAAGGCATCCCAAGTATCTTGAGTTACATCCAAATTGTTTGTGAAACACATGGAGTGTGAACACAAAAAGTTACTGTTTTCAAAGCTGGCCCCACTGGATGTTTTAAGTTTTAATTGGCTTGTTTAAAGAAATAGGAACAAATTACATTTTTTTAAAAAGTCCTTGGTTTAAGTGACTCTTAATCTCACAAAACAAACTGAGGGTTGCTGGGCAGAGGGGAGTTGGGAGAGGGGGGGATAATGGACATTGGGTAGGGTATGTGCTATGGTGAGTGCTGTGAAGTTTGTAAACGTGGAGATTCACAGACCTGTACCCCTGGGGGAAAAAAAATATATATATATATGTTTATAAAAAATAAAATTATTAAAAAAAAAAAAAAGTCCTTGGTTACGTGGCAGAGAAGAAGAAATCATGGGGTGGCCACTCCTGCCTTTCCAGCATTGGCTCAAATGAGGAGCATCAGGGGCTGAGATCTGGGACCCATGAATTTCCAAAGTATGCAGAGAATCCCCCGAGTGCTGAGTCAGGGAGACCACACCATGGTGGGGTTCCATGTGTGGGCGGAACCCATGGTCAGAAATGCTCGAGGTCAAAGGAGCCAAATTCCAGAGAGAAACCTGGTGCCCCCCTACTGGAGCGCCTGTGTGGTTCTCTTGGCCTTTTTCCCTCTAAATCCGAAAGGGTGTTTTTTACTCTGTAGCCCCCCCTCCCTTTTTTTTTTTTTTTTTTGCTTTGTGTCCTCCCTACAGTCTCTCTCCTTCCTTCTCTTCTGTGTAGATCTTAAGTAACCAAGAGGAGTGGTTCAAGGCGGAGCTTGGGAGCCAAGAAGGATATGTGCCCAAGAATTTTATAGACATCCAGTTTCCTGAGTAAGTATTTCCAGCCCGCTGACAGGGGCCTACCCACACACCCTCCCCTTACTTTTTCAGCAGTCACTAAAATTATCTATGCATACCCAAGATACTGTCAAAACTGGTTGCCTCTGGAGAGGGAACCACGCCTCTGAAGGCCACGGTGGGAGGGAGATTTGCATTTCGCTGCATTCCCTTTTGAATCTTACACCATGCACACGGATCACCTATTTTAGGTTTTATAAGCCGAACTCATCTATAATTGCAATCACAGGGCTTCCATGAGTTCCATCAGGGGCACTGTTGGCCACCCCACGTCCAGATCTGTCCTTGTGGGCACATCCCCATTACCTCCTAAGGTCTTCATCCTCACCAGGGATCCCAAATAGCTCCCTGCCTTCCCTAAACCATGCTCAGATCCCTAAGAACCACTGGCGGGGAGACAAAATTCCTTTCATCAAGAGGAAAAAGGAAAATAGAGGTTGGGTCTCGTTTGTCTCAAGAATTGACCACAAGGGTTAGGTAGAAATCTAATCTCCGAGAGTCACTGTGTTACCCACAGTGGTCTTGGTAACTCTGGTCAGGTGCAGGGGCGTAGCTCACCATGAACCAGGGCCAGTCACAGAACCAGCAGAACCACCACCGACCTCAACCCTTGAGGCTGCCCTGTGATGATCTACTTTTGTTCAAGATTTTATTTATTTGAGAGAGAGAGAGAGAGAAGCATGAGCAGGGGAAGGGAGAAGAGGAACACCCCGCCCAGTAAGGGAGCCCAGTGCGGGACTCGATCCCAGGACCCGGAGATCATGACCTGAGGGCAAGGCAGACACTTAACCAACTAAGCCACCCAGAGGCCCTTCTAGAAGACTACCCGCCACCCTCTTGCTCCTCAGACCTCCAGCCCCTCCCCCACAGCCCTTGACTTTCGGGGCTCTTGCTTCCAGGATCACTGGGACAGAGGAAGCCACCAGAAAAGCCCCTCTACCCCAACCCCCCGCTGACTCACTGCATCCACCCACCTCCTGCAACTGCGCTCAGGCAAGGATGCCTTTCCTGCAGCTGTTTGGAAAGAATCGTCTGCTTCTAGCAGAAACTCCTCCTCCCTCTCTTGCACATCGGTTCTCTGTTTCTCTCCTGGGTCATTCCCATCAGCAAAGATGCTGCAATTTCTCCCATCTTCCCCAAAAAAACAAAAACCAAAATTCTTGATCCCAAGTCCCCTTGCAGTTACCACTGTCCTTCTTCCAGAGACTCATCTGTCCTCTCATCTCTAACTCCTCCCCACCCCCTGAAGTCTTTTTATCGCGGTCTCAGTGGGCTCTGGGGCCCGCTGGCGGATTCTGGTGTCTCTGCAGGATAGGGCGGAAGCTCCCCAAGGGCAGGCCTTCCTGTCTGCTCTGCTCACTACTACATCCCCCGCTCCCAGCAGAAGGCCAGCACATAGTAGGTATTTGGTAAAAACAGTTGAATGAACGAGTGAGCAGGTTTGGAATGATGGGTGAAAATATAACCTTGTCTGCGCGTTTAAAAAGTAGTGTGTGGACATTTTCGCCAGTTTTAAAGCCACGTATCAAACTCCAATTCGAGGACAAATGTGTATTTTCCAGACAATCCTCTAACCACTTGCTGCCTCAACCAAAATCTTTCCTTCGAGGCGCGGCTGCTGTGGAGCAGGCCCCGTTCCTTTCCCCAGCCCCATTACACTACTATATATACTACACAAGGCAAGCTGTGGTGGTCACTTGTTCAGTCCTGTGGCCAAGTATGGCAGACGCTCTGGAAGGATCTCCAGGCAGCTGGCGGCCAGAAACCCTCTACTTCGGGCCCCTCATGGCCCAACCACACTTCCCCTGCAGGGTCCGGTCTGGAATAAGGACATCCCTCCTGCCACTCCTATCTGGAGGTCAGGTTCCCAAATTCTAGAGAGCATGGGGACTGCTTACAAAGGACTCTGAAGCGTGTCATACCTTCACCCTAAAGGGACGGACAGACTAGCCTTCCAGGGGCAGCCCTCGAGCAGCCACCTTGGAGGAAGGGACCCTGTCCCAGGCAGCACTGCTGAGTGATGGCAAACACTCATTTTTGCTCTGTGGCTGAGAGGTGTCTGGTTCCCTGCCCTAAGGCCGTAGCCTCTGTTTGCACGCAGGCTCTGCCATCTGCCACAGCACTGCCAGGGGCTGCCACCCCAACTGTCCCTGGAAAAAGGAGTTTCTCCTCCATTCCTTCTTTTCCACAGTAAAGATGATCTTCCTGGATTTGGGGGAGGGCCCAGGAGCTGGCTGCGTAGACGCTGCTCTCTGGCGGCTGCTAGCCTGGCTCCACACCACCCAGATCCCCAGGGTCCCTGGGCTCCGAGGGGGCCCACTGAGCTCTCAGCCTGGGCGTGAGTCCAAGGCTTCCCAGCTCCGGCCCCACAGCACCCGAAGGGGTTCCTGTCCTCCTGGTGCGTCATCTGTCCCTGCAGATCTTTCCTAGTGACATCCCTCACAGGGCTGCCAGCAGGAGGCTGCTTCCCGCAGTGAGTCACTCCCACGCTGTCCCATTTTGGTGCAGTGGCACATTTCCATGATTCAGGTTTTCCGAGCTCGAGAGAGGCTTCTCCTAGAGGGAAGGAACAAAGGGGAGCGCATCAGGGGAACACTCACTTGCTTTGCCTGGAAACTGCCTAGTGCACATGTTTGGTTTCGGAGGCCCCAGCCCCTCCTCTCTTTCTGTCTGCACTCTACTGACCAGAGTCCCCAGCCTCCGTCCATTTGGGTCATCGCTTCTCCCCTTCCCCTTCCAACCACCCCAGCATCTCACCAAGATTCTCTGATTTTATCTCATCCCATAGATGGTTTCATGAAGGTCTCTCACGACACCAGGCAGAGAACCTACTTATGGGCAAGGAGATTGGTTTCTTCATCATCCGGGCCAGCCAGAGCTCCCCAGGGGACTTCTCCATCTCTGTCAGGTACTCGCCGTTCCCAACCCAGACTGCTAAGGCCATGAGGTGACCTCTTGAACGTGACCTGTTGCTCAGGGGCATGGTGGCCAAGGGGTCCAGGCATCGTATCAACTGGGATGCCATTCAGCTCCTTCCCATGACACATGTATGTAACTCCTCAGTAAGCTGGTTTGTGGCCAGTTTACGTATATGTTCCTCTGCCTCCTCCTCTAGCCAAAGTGCTTCTGGAAGGACAGGATCCTAATCTCTTTCACCTTTATGCCTTTTCCAGTGCCTTGCACCCAGCAGGCATTCAGGGAGTATCTGTGCAGGGATGTGGGGCAGGAGAATGGAGAATTCCCAGCTGTCCACATCTCTCTTGGGGTTTAAATCTAAACCTTTTCTTCCACTACTGATATGTGTCTGAAGAAGGCGCAGAGGAAAATTAAAATCCCAAGTCATTGTTGTAGGCGGTTGCATAAAAGAAGGGCCAGCTCAGCACACCGTAATGCAGCACACTGACAGCGACACATCCGAGCCGAGGAGGGCTGGGCTGAGGGACCGGAGCAGCAAAATCTCACTAACATGCAGCACCCGGGAGGAAATGAGTCAGTCCAGGCATAAACATGACACAGCCCCACGCTCAGAAACCCCAAGTCTGAGCGCACTGCCTGTGGTCAGCATGTCTGGGGTCACAAGTCATGCATCAGGCAGGGTGACCACATGTGAAAGGGCACAAGTTAATGCTGATATCTGTACAGGAGGAGACGTGCCAACCTGTACAGTGGAACCTCCTGTTAAGTTCATTGACAGGAAATGTCAGTCTGGATAATTCAGTGCACATTGAAAGGCATATGTAGCTTCAGTGGTTTAGGTGTATAAATCCAATCTCGCGTAATGAACGGAGGCCACTTCACCATTTTAAATAGCTCTTTTAAGGAATAGGTAGGGAGGACTTAGGAATAAGGGGTCAACAATTTGTATGCACGTGCGCCTCCAGGGTGCTCAAAAATAGCTTGTTCTCATTAGCATTGCCCTTGCAATATTGCTTAAAATCTTAATTTTCCTTAACTAAAACTTTTTTTCTTTTTTCACAGCTTAGGCAACAGGAAATTTTAGCTCAGGCCAATATTGAAGTGTCACAAATTCTAAATTTGTTAGGTCTTAATGCAATTTTGCTCTATTAATAAATCTTACAGTCAAACCTCTCTTAAGGGCTCTGATTACAGATTGGACCAGGTAAGTGGTTATGATGAAGGGCATCTCTTGGTGTCTCTGGTTTGCATGAAGTGCACTGTGGCTTTTCACCTAGGAATCGTGGGTTATATTTCCTCCAATAAGGTGCATTCTCCAAAACGATCAGCCTTGACTTCTGCCACAGTCTCTTACAGAAGCTTGCAGCTTCTTGTGATTATTACCATAATTGTTACTACATCTTATGCAGAAATGTAGCTTAATATATTCCAAAGCAAATCATTTTTATTTATTTATACATCTGCCTTCTGTCATGCAAAGATAATTAAGAGCTAATTGTAGTTCTATCACTTAGCATTTGTTAAGGGTCTGAAACACTAGATTTTAGAGGCTAGAGCCCTGAGTTATATCCTTTTCTCTGCCCCTCTTAGAACTTGAGAAAATGGTGCAGCCACTCTCTCTCTCCATGGGTCCAGAGGGCTGGCTGCAAGCCTGACATCCATCCTCTCAGCTCGTGAGAGAGGAGGGGGTTAATGTTTCTCACTCTGAGTTCTTTGACTAAGAGGTGGTGGATGAATAATTATATCACAAGAATATTTCCTCCTCCACACACAGATGTGAGGAGTAATGACTATGAATTAAGCCATGTGTGTTAGAACGAAGGAAGCATCTGTTAGTGGCCAACACCAAGGAGAAGACCACACAGTGATTGCAGAGTGTCGGTTCCTGGCCCAGAGCAGTCAAGCAGAGGTCCCTGTATGGGTTCACCTGGCCATGAGCAGAGCCTAGCCCATAAGAGGAGACTGAAGAGCAATGAAAATTCCTGTCCCCTCTGAACACGAACCACTGAGTCCATCCTTAAGAAACCGGCACTAATCTTCAGAGGTATCTTCACTCCCCAACTCTCCTTAAATTCTTGACCTTTCTGTTGGATCAGGCAATTGCTATCATTGGTTTATTTTTAGATAGAAATGTATGCCTGTTTGACGAATAAACTTGACATTGAAAAGAGAATGCCTTGGTGATGGGGAAAGACTGGAGCTATTAGTAAAGGCCAAGCTCTCCCTTTCCAGATGAGTAACATCCAATTTCTCCATCCCTGATAGAAATATTTCCCATCACTATGATTCCAGCTGGGTCAAAAGGTGCTGATCTAAAAGAACTTGGCACGTGTACATGGTATGACAGGCTCAATTCACTGGACTGGAATCAGAGAGCCAAGGTTTTCGCCTCAGCTCTGCCAATCACTCACAGTGACCTTGGCCAAGCCCCTCCAACAATTGGAGCCTCAGCATCCTCATGGGTAACATTGAGACAGGGCTAAACAACCTCAGAGGTCCTTTTCTTTTTCTTCTTCTTTTTTTTTAATTTATTTGACAGACAGAGATCACAAGTAGGCAGAGAGGCCGGCCCAGAGAGAGGAGGAAGCAGACTCCCTGCTGAGCAGAGAGCCCAATGCGGGGCTTGATCCCAGGACCCTGGGATCATGACCTGAGCTGAAGGCAGAGGCTTAACCCACTGAGCCACCCAGGCGCCCCATGAGAGGTCCTTTTCAATCAAAACACTGCATGGCTCCATAACACTTTTCTCCCCAAAGGTTCGAAATACTTTGTAACTTTATTTATGCAAAACATAAACCAAGACCAAGAGATCTCCATTAAGTAGAGAACCAAGTGCGACAAATTTCTCAAGATAGTCTCTTACTGTCCAGAGCTAGTTTATGGGCTTAAAAGAACTGGTTCAAAGTATTTCTGATAATGGAAAGATAACAGGGGTGAAAAACTTCTCCCCTCCAAGCCTTGGTGGAGTCCTTGGCATCGTACAAGATGCAGGCATTGCCCCATTTCAAACAAACATTGTAAAAAGTCCTTGACTTGGTCATTGTTGAAGTGCTCGGACATTTTTTTCTTATAAAAGGCTGGCTCCAGTGTCAGAAGACAGATTATCTTCTGCTGATGTAGAAATCCCTTTGATGCTGCCTGTGTCCTGAGTAGTCCCTTGCACAAATCTTCCCCCGAGAGTCTGACTGAGCCAGCACCCCCGCCCTGTGAAGGGCAGGCACTCCACATCCCCTTTCCTGCCCCAGCAGAACTTCAGCAACCCTGGATGCAGTCAGCCCTGGGCGTGGGAACATTGTCACCATGTAACATACAATTTGGATTCACCCTGACCTCTAGGCATGAAGATGACGTTCAGCACTTCAAGGTCATGAGAGACAACAAGGGTAATTACTTCCTATGGACAGAGAAGTTTCCATCTCTAAATAAGCTGGTGGACTACTACAGGACGACTTCCATCTCCAAACAGAAGCAGATCTTTCTGAGGGATAGAACCCGAGAGGATCAGGTACGCCTCAGGTCCCGATCATCCCCAGTCTACAGATTTTAGCCAACAGGAGTCCTATGTGACCCATCAAGACAATGCATTTGATGAGCATGTCCTCTGAGGATTCTGGAAGAAAGAATAAGTCCAAACAAAGTCAGACCTCAGTTTAAACCATCTCATAACACTTCCCAGCCGTGTGATTTGGGAAAGTTGTCTGATCCTCAGTTTCCTGATCCGTAAAACTGGAATGATGGTGACAGCTAGCTCATAGATGGTTGTGAAGGTTAGAGGAGATCACGTAAGCCCCTTCCCTGACATCGCTCCTAACAGTGCTACAATGTGCACGTCACAAACATTAGCTCTTAATTGTGGGTGCTTTGTTTTATTAGCATAGATAGTACTACATCACAGTTACAGCCTAGCCTAGGAGTTGCCCAAAGATGAAGACCAGGGGCCCACACACGGGGAGGTTGGAGGGCCGCCTAGAGTCTGGGACTAAGGCGGTAGATAGAGCTTTGTCACAGAAAGGGAGGCTGGGGGTGTTGGACAAAAAAAACTGGACCTGGAATTCTTGCTCTTGGAACGGTGTGGAATATAGAGTATTATTTTACTAGAAAATGCATCAGACAAACCTAACTTTTTTATTTAAAGATTTATTTATTTATTTTAGAGGAAGAGAGAGCACTCAAGAGCAGGCAGAAGGACAGAGGGGGAGAGAGAGAACCTCAAGCAGACAATCTTGAGTTGAGCACGGAGCCTGACACAGGGCTGGAACCCATGACCCTGAGATCATGACCTGAGCTGAAACCAAGAGTCAGACACTTAACCAACTGAGCCACCCAGGCACCCTCAGACAAACCTAACTTTAAATCCTAATTTCATCACTAACTGTCCTTATTACCTAGCCAAGCTAAGAAACCTTTCTGAATATCAGATTTCTCATCTAGAGAATGGAGAGAACATAATACCTCCCTCACTGGGCTGTTGTAAGGATTAAATGAGATAATACAGAGATAGCACTTGCCATAGAGTCTGGACAAGAGTAGGCAGCAAGGAAACGCTAACTTGCTTCCCATTAGCAAATGCACATGCACACAACGTATAAAATACCTTCCAAAGGAAACAACATCATTGTAAGAAAGAAATGGGAATTCTAGGAAGAAGCATTTCTGGAATAGTTAAAACAGTTGAAATCCCTGGAACGAGTTATTTGAAAGGCTTTGAGGCTTTCAAAGCAACAGGTGCTCTGGGGGAAGTAGAGAAAACCATCTCAGGCAACTGGTTGATTGTAAGCCTGAGAAGGGACAGTCCTAGGAGAAAAGGGTGTCCCAGCAAGGGCACGTCAAAGTTCAGAAAGAAAAACAAAGGTTTACTGAGACTTTGTGAATTATTTAAACCAAGAAACAGAGGTATTAATTTACCAGGATGTGCATGTAGAGAAAAGAGGGGTAGCCTAAGATGCATTAAACTGAATGAAACGAGTTCATATTTGTAAAGCACTTCGAGCAGCGCCCGGCATGTACGAAGCCCAGGCCCTGTGTAATTGTTTGTGAAATAAAAATAACAAGAAAGTACCTCTGAGTCACAAGGTTGTGGTGCCATTAAGCAGAACGGCTGTGCTCCTTCCCAGCGCGTGCCCAGCGCCGGGCCTGGTTTCCATGGTGCCGCAAGAGGGCTGCTGTTTGGGGCCCTATCACCAGGCTATAAATGACAGTTCAAAATCAGGCAGAGTCAATGACAGAGCTTGTCAGGAGGGTAGGGTGTCCGGCGGTGTGGCAACATGCGATAAGGAGGGGTGGTATTGTGTCAGTAAAAGAGAGTATTTCAGCTTGATTACAGAGATGGAAACAGCCCACTGGGTAGGGACTCAATGGGTAGCACATGGAAAAGTGAACCAGAGAGCCCAAGTCCCCAACCCAGGAGAACCTGAGAAACTGGAGACCATTTTTGAAACCACGAGGGTCCAGACCATCGACTCTCTTGAGGCTGCCCGCGTGCCGGCAGCTGCTTCTGGGAGAGGTCGTGGGCAAACTCTGGAAAGAGCAGGCAGCAAGTGGGGGGCGGGGCTGGGGGGCCGGGAGATGCACGAGGGGGACGGATCTCCATCATCTTCATCATCTTCTCCCAGGGTCACCGGGGCAACAGCCTGGACCGGAGGCCCCAGGGAGGCCCGCACCTCAGTGGGGCTGTGGGAGAAGAAATGCGGCCTTCCATGATCCGGAAGCTGTCGGACCACCCGGCACCGCCTCCCTCGCAGTACCCCCCGGCACCCCCAGCCCAGCAGCACCGCTATCTGCAGCACCCCCACTTCCACCAGGTACCGCAGAGGAATGACGTGGGCGCCGTGAGGTAGGGAAGACGCCCTGCTCCCCCACCCTGGGGCTCGGGCCACCCTGTCCCCACGGGCACAGAGCATGTGAAAGTCCCCCACAACACCAGATGCAAGCAGAGCGAACAAAGGCCTGGGGGCTGTCGTGGTCCTGGGACCGTGGGGAGGAGTGTCTCGGGCCAGCCCGGCCTCGTGAGGACTCACAGAGTTCATAACGGAGACCCGGGACCTTGCAACTGGCAGAAATATGATAATATGATATGGGAACTGCTCTTGGCAAAGAAGTCCCTGTGAATTCATTGGCTCCCTGCCTGAACACACACACACACACACACACACACACGCACGCACACATGCACGCACGCTCCTACCCTGAGGATTCAGTGAACCGTTGCTTCATTTCCCTGTCAGCGCAGTTCCAGATCTATCCGTGCCCCCTAACCCATCTGGCTGTGGAGAGCCATGAGAAAAAACGGATTAACACCCACAATAGAGCCCCGCTTGCTTATTTCTTTACTCCTTGCTTAGTTCCAGATGGGGTTTGGGGCCGCTTACCGAGATGGACAACACAGCCAGATAACATCGATCCTAAATTCCCTAGTGGGGCACACAAAGCCCTTTTGTAGGCTGCCCATATCTGCTTCCCCAGCCTCATCTGCTGCTGCCTCCCCCTAAACCAGCCCCACCTCCCACCCTCCCCACTCCCCGAGCAAACACACATTCCAGCAACTCTGCACTATCTTCAGTTACCAGAATGGTCTGTTGTGTTTTCTCTCATGACCTGGGGCATTTTATATGCTCTTTCCTCTGCCTAAAATGCCCTTTGCTGGCTGATCCTTCTCCTCTAAAGCTAGAGTTCAAGTGTCACCTCCTCTAGGAAGCCTTCTCTGATTACCCTGGCAGATTTAGACATTCTCTCAGCTCTCTTATCACTTAAATGTGTGTGGTTCCCCCTCTAAACCGACAATCCCCGAAGACAAAGACCTTTTCTTTCCAGCTACATATCCCCAGTGATTAGGACGGTACCAGACACATGGTCAGCGCCTGATAAATACTCTTTGAATGAATGAAATCTGGCATCGTCTTCACAATCGAAGGTCCCTGTGCCATCCTCCACCGCCCCTGCCCCCAACACCTGGGGTTTATTGTCACCAGCAGCAAGTATCCTTGGAGCACTGGCTGTGTCTGTGGCATCTGAGCAAGGCGCCAGGGGGCCTGACAGGGACATGATGTGGTGACAGGTCCTCTGTTACGTGTGTTTCCAGGACCGCCGAGGAGGCAGCCTTGACATAAACGATGGGCACTGTGGCATGGGCGTGGGCAGCGAAATGAACGCCGCCCTCATGCACCGGAGACACACGGACCCTGTGCAGCTCCAAGTGGCCGGGGTATGTGGGCTTTCCCTCCCTGGGCTCCATGAGGGCCGCCAGAGGGGCACTTAGGGCAGCGGCTGGTCCTCCCGGAGAGAAGCAAGCTGCTCAGAGCTCCGAGTGGAGGCGGTGGGAGCTCCTGGGAGGAGGAGGAGTTCCAGGGCCCAGCCGAGCCGGCGTGTCGTCCTGTCCGGCCACCGGGCCATGCCCTCTCCTCCCGTGTTGGCTCCAGCTCAGGCTGTGGCAGACGGGAGCTGTTGCCGTTTCCCTTGCGCTGTGTCTCCCTGGGCAACGCTAGCACGGGCACTGTTCACTTGGGCACGCTGCCATCCTTTCTGTCACCTGGAGAGAGTCAAAAGACCTGCAGAGACGCAGGGGCAGTAGCTGTCAAGGATGCTCCTGGGGCCTGGGAGAGTAACTGCTCTAGCGGTGGAAGTCCTGAGTGCAGAGCACGGCTCAGGTGGGCTCTGCCAACGTCAGGCCCAGGGCTGGGCTGCGGGGTCTGCTTTCTGTCCTCGCCGAGGTCTTCGTCTCGGTGCGGGAGCCGGCAGGACCCTCCTGCGGGATAGCGGCTCAGAGGGCCAGCACCCCCCACCGCAGCTCAGCGGGACCCCCTCTGTGCTTCCCCCAACAGCGAGTGCGGTGGGCCCGGGCACTCTACGACTTCGAGGCCCTCGAGGACGACGAGCTGGGCTTCCGCTGCGGAGAGGTGGTCGAGGTCCTGGACAGCTCCAACGCGTCGTGGTGGACTGGCCGCCTGCACAACAAACTGGGCCTCTTCCCCGCCAACTACGTGGCACCCATGATCCGATGAGGCCCTTCCCGGGGCCTCAGAGGCTGTCATCGGAAGCTGCCTGCGGGAGAGGGGCAAGGAAGAGAAGCCGGGACTATCTACACATACGCACACGCACACACTTCTGCCTGTGTGCGCGCGCATTTTATAGTAGTAATTTATTGGCGATTTCGTTGGTTACTTAGCTGATATGAAAGGAAGTCAGGCGAAGAATTAGATTCATACTTGTTTTTCTGCTCCCCTCAGTGATGCGTGGAAGGCAGTGGGAAAGCTGGAGGGTGGGGAGCAGGGACAGGAGACTCCCAGTTCTTCCCGTCCTTCAGACAGCCCTGCTTCCTCCTGGCCTTGGCAATGTTCGCTGAGAGCCCCGGAGCGGAGATCCACACCCGGGGTTGCCCCGAAACAACAGGGTAGGGCGGGTCGGCGAGCCTGTTTCCGCTTACCTCCCAGCCCTGCTCACCTCCAGGGTTTGCAAGGCGGTTTCCCTCCCATTCTACAAGGGTGGGCTCAGCTGGGTTGAGAACAAAGGTGCGGCCCCACGGGGCTGAGCTGGGAGCAGGAGGGGCCGTGAAGGCAGGACTGGCGCTGGGGGAGGGGTGGTGGTTCCTGCAGCAGGGGTGAGTCTGGCCTCCGGCTCCACGGCTCCACGCGCTCAGCGGAGACCTTCACCTCCCTCCAGCCCACGTTCCTCCGCTAATCCTCCTCCCTGTGGCTGACCTGGAGAATCAGAGACCCCAAGGAGCCAAGCACTGGGAGATGGAGGGATTTTCACAAATCCCCAGTGGCTTACCTGGGAGTCACCTCTGTTTCCCGGGATACCGAGAAAGCAGCTTTGAGACTCTGTAAAATGTTTGGAGAAGCCGGGGGTGAAAAAGCAGGATTTGAGAGCCATTGTTTTATGGCAACAAGGGTGTCTCTTTGGGTCTCTGTTTGTTTTCCCATGTTTTGAGGATGCTTTGCGCAGTGGCACAGAGACAAGCCCAGTCCACGGGGGCGTTGACCTGCCGTTGCTGCCCGCTGCAGCATGACCCCGGGTGGGAGCCGGCTTTGCCATGAGCATCCAGGATCCAGCTGCTGAGCCACTGCTGGCAGCCCCCCCCCAACAGCTGCACGTGGGGCAAGGGACACCCATGCCGCCATCTCTCTTGCCACCTCAACATAGAATTGTGATTCCCTCGGGGCTGTGGGTGTGAAGCACCAACTGGCCAGGCTCGGGAGGAGACACCAGAGAAGGAAACTCAGTGGGACCCGGGGGGCAGACACGTCTGCCTGAGGGCGCTGACAAGGGGTGGGTGTGTGTCTCATGAGACCTAAATGAAAGGGTGGGGTGCCCGTGCTGGTGAGGGAACATGAGGAGTGAGGTGGGCCTGTCCCTTTGTCTTCTCCCCCAGCCCTTCCTGCTCTAAGGAGTGACCGGGCAGCCATTATTGAGGGTGACAGAAGAAAGAGTTTCTGACTCAGAAGTAACTGTCAGTGTAACACAGGCTGTGTCCCTCTGACTCCGAATTCTATGGTTCTGTGATCCCTGTGTTGCCTTTGGAGGCAAAGGGGAAAAGCAGGCGCTCTGCTGTGAGTCTTGGGAGGGAAGAGAAAGTGGCCCTGAGAGGCAGGGGGAGTGCAGTGGTCTGGCGCAGCCTATAGACATGGGAGCAGGGGACACGAAGGGTAGCAGGGACATTTCAAAAGATCAAGGAGCAGCTCAAGAGGCACAAAAGGAGGGAAAGGAGGCAAAATGTTACATGGGGCAGGTGAGGAAGACATCAGAGTAGGAGCCAGCGGGCGGACAAGCAGGGGAAGGAGGGACGGAGCAGGAAGGGAAGGAGGAATTAGAGCAGAGACAGGAGCGCTGGGGAAGGCAGAGGCGAAGGATGAAGAGCCGGGAGAGAGAAAACAAGGCAAAGAAGACCTAAAAGCTATTTTGGTGCTAGGTAATGTGAACATGTTACAGTAAATAAAAGCCAAAAGTGATGTTTGATTTTACAGTATTTACAAACCATATGCTTTAAACAGCCCACAAGCCCTATCCATTTGTCTGATGATGTGGGAGGACCGGCCCCAGTGGAGAGAGAGGGAAATGATTTGGTTCTGGCCTGGATTTCATGCCTTGAAACACTTCTCAAGAAAACAATGATACGACAAATGCCAGTGTTTTGCCAGGCCGCGTGTCGTGTCTGTGGGAGTGGGGGGCGCTGGCCTGGGGAGGCTCACCCCACAGTGTGGGCAAAGCTATTGAAACCCCTAGAACTGGATGTTGAAGTCCAGCCCAGGCCGTCGGGTAGTGCTAAAATGGACTTGCCCCCGCGCATCACGTGGCAAAAGAGGAAGCAAGAGTCACCCCAACCACCCATGGAGAACTAGGGTCCTTGGGACTAGGCTAAGAAGATAAGAACCCAACTGTCCCTACTTGGGAGCTGTTGGGAAATGGCTTTGCTGAGCCTCTGGTGCTGCCTCGGGGAGCCCATGGGAAGTTGCTTTCCACCTGAGCATTTCAGTGCCAGGGGCGTGTCCTCCCAGCCTCACAAGCCACACAATCCCAGTCCGGGAAAGAGCACAGATGTCTGACTTCAGCCAAAATGCTCCGCATGACCTGGGGGCAGGGAACTTCCAGAGAAAATCCGGTTCCTGATGAACCGGTTCCGTTTTCTACCCACTTGCCAAGGCTCCCTGCAATTTTCAGTCTCTGGAAACTGCCACTGCCCACCCACTTTTAGATGGCCTCAGGGTGATCGAAGGCGGTGCTTCTCAAAATTTAGTGCCTGTGGATTGCCTGGGGAAGGTGTTAAAATGCAGATTCAGATCCAGTGCTGCGTGTCCACAAGCTCTGAGGAGACATGCCTTCTTCCGCAGACCAGTCTTCGAGGAGCAAGGGCACAGAACTTGACAGGGAGCTAGAGAGCACAAAAATCAGATGAGATCTTTTTTCTAGGGATCTTCAGGCACTTTCCTCTGTTGATCACAAATGAGACATGATTCAGAACTGCCATTATGACATCATCTACGTTTGACGGCCCAGGTGACCGACTTCAGGGTCTCCACCTCCATCAAGAATCAGGAAGCTTTAGGACGACAAGCATTCAGGAAAAGTCCACACACGGGTTTCCCAGTGGTGATTAGTTTAAAGATAAGCAGAGGTTACAGAAGTTGTGAAAGCTTTCTCAGGAAATCTTTAAACATAAAATGCACTTGCATCAGGTGTGGTCCTGCTTGGAGGCGAGGGAATGGCCCATGTCACTGGGGCACCGTTAGATCAACTAACCCTGAGCAAAACAGGCTACAGGCAAGACAGGTTGGCCTGGGAAAGTATTTGCTATTTGCCTTGTCAAAAGTTAACACTTCAGTCTGTATGTACCAAAACAAGGACATGGCAAAAGCACGTTGTCTCGTTTCTTTTAAATACTTCTCAGGTTCTTCCACGTCTTTCCATCACCACAGCCTCACTGCCATATATCTTCCCTGGTGACCAGTCGAGCCTGGACACGCTTCTCCCAGCATATCCTCTTGTCCCCAGTCCATCCTCCACACAGATGCCAGAGTGATCCTTGTACAACAGCAGCCTGATCACGTCACTCCTCTGCCAGCCGCCACATTTGGATTTTAATCCAAGTCTCCATGTGGCTGCGGGTGGTCTGGCCCTGCCTCCCCCCTTCAGCCTCCTCTGTGCCTCTCCCCTCCTTGTTGCCACGCTCCCACCCACTGGCCTTCTCTCAGCCTCCAGATTGGTTCCCAAAGCCTCCATACCTTTTGGTCTGCCTCTACCTGGCTAACTCCTTTGCATCTTCAGCCCTCAGCTTAAATGTCACTTTCTCAAATTATCCTTTCCTGACCCTAATCTAAAAGAATCCTTCCCATTGGACTATCTGGTGGTTCCTGGTGCTTTTCCTGAACAGCACGTAAGCTGGTCTATTGGTCTATTAGACTTTAAGCTCCCTGGGGGCAGGGATCATCTGTTTTGTGGACCGTTGTATGCCACAGCATGTAGCACTGTGATCGGTGCACAGAGGCTCCACAAATATTTGTTTAATGAATGAGCAAGTGAAACCTGCCTCGTGTCACCTATCATTCATTCTGTAACCCAAAGGTCCCAGGCCTCATGGACCCGTAGGTGCAAACAAGGTGTTATTAACATCGATGCCCAAGTTACAGTAGCTTTCAGCTGCATGCCCTCAAGATCTCCAGTTACTTTGAGAGTCCACAGGAGGGAGGCTGGTGTCTCGTGTGTTTAAGCACAGGTCCGCTAACGCTTCCTACTCTGACCAGGTTTGATTTTCCCTGAACATGCTCCGCGGACAGCGTCTTCCCAGATGCTGTCAATCCGCTGTCCGTTGCATCAGTATGTTGATGAAATACCCCAATCCTTCAGGAAGCTAACTCTGCCCTGTAATCCATGTGGCTAGGTGGGTTGGGGAAGAGGAGGGGTGGAGAACAGCCTGTACTCAGTTCTGAGTTGCCCCTGTCCTTGGGCCCCAGAGACCCTCTACCTAGATCAGAGCTCCCCCACAGCTCATTCCCTCCTCACTGGAGCCCTCGCTCCATCACACAGGACAGAGGAAGTCCCCTTCCCCTCCATCTTTCTTGTTTGTCTCTCTCGCCCTGTTGCCCCTTCCTCCTTCTGCTGAAAAGAAATGTTCTCGTACCTCTTTGTGCAATAGATCCCGCCCACGGTGCTGGAGGGATATGCACCCTGTTGTATAATCTGGGCTGTGCTATAATTCATTCATTAAATCAACAACTATTTACAAAACACCCCATAGAGGACAGATGCAATGAGCCAGTGGGTCATCCACATCTCTCTACTCCCTCTGCAGCTGTGCCACAGTCGTTGCCTCATTTCAAGTGAAACTCCCAACCCCTGCCTCTGGGCTGGCCCTTCTGATCCAGCCCACTGACTGCCAGAGAGACCTTATTAACATGCAAAGCTGATGACATCAGGTTTCTGTTCAAAAGCCTCCAGGGGCTCCCACTAGCTTTCAGGCCACAGTTTAAACTCCCAGGCTTGGCACTAATGCCATTGTGGGATCTGAATGCCGCCTGTTTGTTCAGCCACAATGCTCATCTCTCCCCGGAATGAGTCATGTTGTCTCAGAGCTCTGAGTCTCTCCATTGGGTTCC